TTTATATATTTTGAAAATTGTGTTTTACCTCTTTCCTATTCAACGCTGACCAATCACAGACTTCTAAAAATTGTCGACTTCGTGGTTTAAAGACAGTGCCATATATGCGTTCATTCCCTCTCGCATGTAAAAATCATGGATAATACAAAATCCTTAAAAATCCATTATTTATGTTTCCACATAAATTCACGCAACACTCACAGACAGGACATAAATACACATACGTGAATTAAACAAAGACAGCTCGGAATCAGGTTCATCTCTTTTTATCATTAGTCGACGGTTTATAGAAGTTATGGGACCTACGTGTAAACAATGCGTTAAATTTTTTACGAATTTGACTTCTTTTCGTCAGAGGACGCGCCTGTCGACGTGAGTCGCATCTTCATAAGTTTATACACATCGATACATGTAGTAGCTGGCAGCACGCAGTTTCTTTTGCCGTATTTATACAAATTCTTGCTGTTTATTGCAAAGAATCGTTTTTCTTGAATTAAATTCGATGACAGCAAGAATTATTAAGATCATATCCTGCACAAAAACTACGAAACTATTTGATAGCGTTTGATAAACCGTTTGAATCGACATCCCACCTATTATGAGAAAAAGTGAATTCAACAAGAACTTTATTATGTTCCTTGCATTGATTACGATGTTTAAGACATAATTAAGGTATTTATAAAACTGTTAAATAATGGAGCATATAAAGAGAACCGCAACCGATGAGGAGCCAAAAATTCTCGAACCTGTTTTAATAAAAACTGTCACTAACGAACGTATAAATATCGACAAAAATGAGGTAAGGAGTGCGTCAATTGCGTGTTGTTAGAAAAATTCGTATTGAATGCATATTCAAGATATTTTTACAATGTTGCTTGAAAACTCGTTTCCAAATTTTTTGAACGTGTGTAGGATATAATTTTTTTCCTTTTATACAGTTTAAGATTGGACGTGCCAGAGATAATGATGAAATAATATTGGATATCATGATATCTAGAAAACACTGCATTTTTAGATGTATAGGCCAGGATGAATGGACGCTTAAGGATTTAAGCTCTAGTGGAACATTTGTCAATGGTAATGCCATTGGCCCTGGTGAAGTACAAAATGTTTATCCTGGCGATACTATACAATTTAGTCCTGATGAAACGTTTAGATATGTATTTATTCTTACCGAGAAAGATCATTGTGTCAAGAAAGCACGTATAGATGAAAAGATACTCGACACTGTACTTGTCAAGCAAAGAACGTTTGCCAAAAATCAAGAATGTCAGAGAAAAGAACTAAAAAATAAGCTTGAAATAAACCAAAAAGAGCAAGTCAAGTTAAAGCAGCAACTTGAAGATCTGTTGTCTCAACAAGCTGTGGCTAAAGATGATAATGAGAATTTATTAAAACAAGTTACCGTATTAGAAGAAAAAATAAAGACCTGTAATTCTCAAGAAGAACATCTGAACAATATGTATTCTCAGTTATTGCAAAAGTTGGAGAATGAAAGGCTGCAGTTTGAAGCAAGACTAAACGAGGAGAAACAGAAATGGCAAGAAGCATTAGACATGAGTAAGCAAGAAAAAGAAATGCTAGAAATAAAAATGAAAGATCAAATGGAAAAATGGAGAGAAGAACAGCAAGTAGAATGGAAAAACATGATGGAGAGCAAGGTAAAGGAAGAGAAAAACATTCAGGCCCAGTTAATGAATGAGAAGACCAGGTTAGAAGAAACATTGAAAAACCATGTGAATGAGAAAACCATGTTAGAAGAAAAATTGAAAGAAACGGAGAAAGCCTTAAAGGAACAAGAAGCTAAAGCAGAAACTTCGCAAACAATATTGAATAGTATGTTGTAATAAATTTGTATACAAATGTACACTAATTGTTCTACATTTATATAATGTTATTTTTAATAGTAGGTTTTTTATTAAAATTTTTGTTTATATTATACACTAAATCATTGGTATTTTTTTTTTTCAGTAAATACATCAGGCGAAATTGCAAGTACATCAGAGTGTATACTCTTAAACTTGAATGGTGATCAATTCGAGGTTCCGCAGTATGAAATAATAGACACGATAGATCTAACTGAGATAAGTCAAAATATCCTAGAGACTAATATTAATGAAAATATTCTTGGAAAAGTCAGCAACATTATGGATGAACAATTGACATGTGCCATATGCTCGGAATTATTTATTAAAGCAACAACATTGAATTGTGCACATACATTTTGTCATCACTGCATAAATTCATGGAACAAAAAACAGAAAAATTGCCCTGTCTGTAGAAAGTCAGTGATATCGATGATTAGATCATTAGTTTTAGATAATTTTATTGAAAGTATGATCGATAACTTGCCTACTGAACTTAAAAACAGAAGAAAAGAAATTATACAAGAAAGAGAAGGTAAAGTTTTGATTATAATAATGTGTTTTATACATTAAATATGGCACTCTCTAATTTAATTATTTAATTTGTCTGATTTATATATACACACTTCTGTTTCAGTATTAACAACGAAGAAAACAATGTATTAAAGTGCGAGTTGCACGAAATGCAAGATGGGTACTAATATTTTGATGTTAAATATATCTTAAGAAAAATGTTTATTATTGTCTAATTGGTCGACAATTTTTTTACTGAATGTTGGTGAAGTTTTGCTCTCTAAGGCCGGTATTCATAGTCTGTTCCTATTTCAAGATCATATTAAATAATAGCTTAAAATGCTATGGCTCACTCTGATTAGCATAACTTATATATATTAATATGTAAGACTATTAAATAAATATAAAATCGACTATGAATATTGGCGCAAATGCTCTCGAAATCCAAAAATTCAAGTTTTATTTTTATAAAAAGAGAGACCTTTGAAACATCTTTTTTTTATTTCACCGTTTTATTAATTTGCATTATCTTTTATATATAATAAAATACGCTGTATGTATTGTATGATTAATGAAGTATTTTTATAAAACACTTCGGCCTTCTGTTCTGTGTTTTTATACTCTGTAGACGTACACAAAGATACCTTTCAATGATAATCAGAGTATTTAAAAAATCTTGTCAGAATAAAATTTGCTTGGTTGCGTATGTCGCGTAATATATAGGAAAATTAATAAAAGGTATAATTGAAATATGACAGTATAATATTCTAGAACTAAAATTTTGTAATTTTCACAGTTAATATGCTGCTTTTTAATTTATAATATTTTTCTTTTTCCATTTTTGAGAATTTAAATGTTTACGGTTTACACAACCTTTATTGCGCAGAATCGTTGATAAAATATTTTTTTACAATGTCGGTATGTTATGAGACTCAAAAAATTGTAACATTCTGTGAGTTTGTTTCAGTTGCACTTTTATCTTTTGTTTTTTTTTTAAAGCCGACCACACATGGCTGCGTTCCATTTAACGCTCACAACAGTCAGGACACTCGTGGAATGATTTCATCCTTGTTATTCATCAAATATTAAACAAGGACACATAATGCTACGAAAAGCAGCTTACGCAGCCATTTCATTTTACAGGCCAAAGTGCAAGAAAGTGTAGCCAGGAGCAGATTTGTTGAATCAGCTGTTACTGTTACGTGTAAGTGTGTTATTGGAACTAAACTGTGCTAAACCGGTTAATATTGTAATAACCATCAAAATGCAAAGTGCACGTTCTTTTATTATTTGCTTTCAAATATCTAGATGTATTAGCTCATCTAGCTTGTGTTCAACTTCTAATAGAGAAGCTAAATTTATGAAAAAATTAGTGAATGGAAGTCGTAAATCGAAAAAGTAAGACAGACTACGCTTCATATAAATTAAAAAAGTGAAACGTTTCTCTTAAAACTGTTAAATTCAACTTCCTTTATTTTTATGTTACAGAAAGTGGTATGACTCAAACACAGAATTACGCAGTGTCACAAACATCAATTCAACCAATACCTCACCTTCTATGCATACCAGACGCAGAATGATAATTCGTGATAAACTTTTCATGCAACATATAACAGATATGATGTCGATGGGACAAGTATCTGACATTATGAAAGAAAGTATAGAGATTACTCATGTCAAAATAACGCAAGATTTTAAATGCGTCAATGTGTTTTATATACCTAGTAACGATGTCCCAGTTGATCAGGAAGCATTACAGAAGGGCGCCGGAATTATTCGGCACGAGCTATCGCAGCTCCGTGTCATAGGTGTAGTGCCACCAATCTATTTTGTTGAAAATAAGCTCTATTCTAGAGAGAAGGAAGTCGAAAAGAGATTGGCGATGATAAATTTCGAGGAAGATAGTGAAATCTTGTCCGAACAAATGGAATCGGATATGTCCGATGTTAGTAGTGTCGATCAGATATCGCACAAAGAACCAGTTGTAAACGATAATTCCAAGATAGATGAATTTTATATCCAATTGCCAATAATGAGACATGATGTATTAGGACTGGATCATCACAAAATCATGTCTCGGGTAATCTGTCTTACGTTTTTATTGATAAAAGATAAATGCATTAAATATTATATTTTAATCAATTATTACAGATTACTAGTGTAGTATCCAAGGCGAAGAAAGCTGCGCAAATACGAATGTTGGATATGAATACCAGTACAGAGAAAAGCGATCCAGTTTCAAATGAAGTCAAGTTCCTAACTCGGAAAGAGCAACAAGAGGTCTTCTCTGAGTTTCTAATTAAAAGACAAAGGGAAGCACGACGCATGAAACAGTCGAATGGCCGGAAACTGTTAAATAGTTTTGAAGAAATAAATAATGAAGAATCTAGTTACGAGAATGATGTTGATGTCAACGAGTACATTGACGATGAATACATCGACGACGAATACATCAACGACGAATACATCAACGAGCATAATGATAACGATAATTTCCAGGATGACACGCGAAAATGATTCCAAAACGAGGTTTCAGAATAGTTTTTATTCAATATAAATATAATACTAACTTGACTTTCTGTACATGTGTGTACAATAAATAATTTATTATTAATAAATCGTATTGTACAATATACATAAAATCTTGCTACAGCTGTGAAATAATACAATTAATAACAATAACAAGAATGCTCACTTTTCACTAGACACTACTATGGCCTGTGTTAGTAAAGTTAAGACTGTACATAATGTACACACTTCCATTATGTAGTTACACCCCATACTTTTGATCCCTTTTGACTGGTGTAAATTTCTTATAACACGTTATATAATAACTTAACCAATTGCACATCTAATCGACAAATAAAAATAATATAAATCTTACTTATGGCAAAATCACACTATTCCTCTAATATTTTCCGCGCATTTGCAGTAATACATCGTCATAATTTCCAAAAGTGAAAATAAAGTATTATATTAATGATCTCGTGATATCTTTTAGTATCTACAGTCAATCAATTAATACGTGACCAATGTCTGTTAATTTACGCGCTCTTTTACGTTATTACATTTATAAATTACGTAAACCTCATGCGTTACGACACAAATATACATTCGTATATCCAATATATCTCGCGGCATTCTTACATCACAATATATGCTTGCTATATATTTCTTTGTACCAGCTAACAGAACTGGAATGTCCTTTTTGATGAGAATATTTCACACTAAACTTTGATTAAATCTTTGATTCTGTATTCAGGTTTTTTTCCTCTGATCTTTGTTCATCAAGTGCTTCTTTGGGTAAATTTACGTCTATCTCTTGATCACTTATAGGTTTATAGAGACGTACATTTGACGATGTTAATTGAGGTATCGAGTCCGTTAAGGCACATGCTTCCAATACATATTTGTTGAAGGTTTCACTTTTGTCTGCATAGACATGATGACCAGCTCCAGTAATTACCTATAATAATAATTTATTTTGTATAAACGGTTGTAAGTTGATTCATTTTATAGAGCACTGCTGATTTAATTATTTTCTTACCTGAACATTAACATATGAGGAAGACCGGTACTGTTTAATTGTTTCACCAGCTGAATTGTCAACCCATGATCTACTGCCATAAAGTAACGTTATAGGTATATTATCGTTTAACTTATCCATTCGTTTAACAATTGGATTTTTTGCCCATCCGAAACCATGCATCATTGCATGAAACGCGCTCTCGCCTCTGTGAACCGAATATAATTATGTAGCACATTTAATATTTTTAAATTGTATCAAGATGTTTAGTTTGCAACTTACGAAGGCGTCTGTGCGTTGCATTGATGTATATATTGCGAAATTACAGCAGTGTCATCCTTCAGTACGGGAATAAACTTCTTCACAATATCAGGTCTTGTCTTTTCAATGAGCCACTGTCCTGTAATAAATATTTTTGCTCAACCATGTGAAAAGAAAATAATTGCACATTACTGCGTATTACTGCGTTTATGATAATACTAACCAAATGGTCCAGCAACTCTAACTGCCCACAGAGGATTCAAAGGCTGTACTGCAAACGCTATGGCTTTAACCCAGAATGGTACGTGTGTCTTGGCAACAGTATCGGATGGCTTCTCAGGAAAGCCCCATGGATCAGCCAATATAAGATGTTTTACTCTTTCAGGATATTGCATAGCATACGATGCTGCAAGAAAGCCACCCATGGAGTGACCCAACAATACAAAATTCTCTAGCTGCATTTCCCTTCTCCATTCTTCCACAGAATGTACTAACTGCTCTTCAGCTTTTTGCGCTTCATTACTAAAAACAGGTCTGCTACTTCTGCCAAATCCTAGAAGTCAAATATAGTTGTGTTACAGACGTACAAATCTGAGACACAATTAAAAAGTACAATAGAAAATAAGAAATACAAGTATACACCGTTTCTGATAAATTGAAATCTGTTATTCCCTGTTCCTATTAACTGTGCTTTTCAGTTGTGTCTGAAGCTACAGTCTCACAGAAACCTTTTTCAAATATATTTTGAAGATGCTTTTAAATATTCAAATATTTTGCATCTTGTTAGAAAAAACTAATAGATTCATATATTGAATAACAGATTTATGCGCAACTACAAAGTTCAGATCTGATTAGTCATGTAGATGAGTCATGTATTTGTTAAGAATAATGGATGACAAAGCAGAGAGAATTTAGTCGTTAAATGAAATAATAGCAAAAGGAGAAAGAATATAATGTAATGATTAAAATCTTTGTGTTTTTGCTATTATTTTATTGTATTATGTTATTAATAGTATATAAATCAAATAAAATCGCAGATAATTAAGCAATCGAGAGAACTCAATTCTTTTTATTTCTTACCTAATATATCTATGGCGTACACTGGTCTTTGAGATGCAAGTGCGTCTAAATTCAAGCACCATAATGCTACCCCAGCTCCTAAACCGTGTAATAAAACAATTGGGACCTTTGGTGATTCTTCGTTCAACGAAATGGTCCATATTTTATCCGCCGGTCCTACAACTGGTCCAATATCAACGAACCATCCTCGATATGCCGTTTTCAAGCCTAGTATTTCGATTAAATGCATAAATGTAAATTTCGGTCTTGACCTAAGTTTAATTAGTAATATTTATCTTTTATTATTTATCTCACATGACAGAATCTTCTTCTCCGCAGCACGTAACATAGTTGAAGACGATCCAGACCAGCTAAACCATCCCCAAATCCAGCTACTGCAGCATTTTATAAAATAAAATTATCTTTCTTGGCATTGTGAATTGAGAGAAAAATTCCTCTCAAATTATCCAACTATGTATCAACAAAATTGAGATGCAATTATCGAATTAAGATAATTATACTAAGATATCAAACTAAGATGAATCGGCGTTATTTGCAATTTGTATCAAGTCATGCTTCTGCACATCATCAGACAAGTATGCACATCGCGGATGGGTTATTAATAATATAGTTGTTATATCACAGACCAATTATTACGCTCTTGCTCGCGCATTCGCCATGTGCACCGGAGAAGATCTAGCCAAGAGACGGCCTTGAGATGCCCGACAAAATCTAAACTTTTAAAACCGTCGCAATCGTTGACACAATTCGATTATCTATATACACGCTTTGTTGACATAGCCCGTTCTTTCTTCGCGTGATGATTTGTTGTCATTCGATCGCGTCTTGCGCCAAATGACGTAATGTCGCGATACAATCGCGGTTCACGATCGCGACGTAATCGACGAATTGTGACGGAATCTTCCGATACCGCGTAAATTGGCGCAAATGGTCGAATCCTCTTTCGCTCACCTTTTTGCTTGGACGACTTCATGGTCTGCCATGGATGCGAGATGACGACAACGGCTCCTCCTTGCCGCTCTGCCGTCGCGATCGGGGCTCCTTTGTTGTCGGTAAATGCGGAAAAACACGCGTGTGCTGTAACGCGCGCGATACTATTATCTAGTAGAAGTGTCCCGATCTGAATGGACGGATCGAGCCATCGAGCGAATGCGCGGCCTCGTGGACCAAGCGCGGTGTGGTGGGTGACGGCAGCCGCAGAGTGGGAAGGAATCAGCTGATATCAAACGCACGCGCGCGCGCGCGCGCGCGCACGCCGATTTCTGGAGCGTGTCCACTCGCGAATCTCTTCTATCTCTTGTTCTCGAGATCTTATCGAGGTCACCTGACCGCCGATAGAAAACAGGTTGAACTGAATTAATTATTTCACCTGATATTTAACGCGAGAAAACGAATTCCGCTCTTTCTTTAAAACGAATCGTCTTCGATTTTAATGCCCTCTTTTTATATAGCAGGACTTTGTTGGAACTTATAGGGGATAGAAATGGAAAGTTACCGATCAGTGGCTTAGATAATGAGAACTTGTTATATTAGCGATATGCTTACGGTTTTCCAACGGAGAATATTATGGCAAATTGACATCATCTGTGTTTGCATTAAGCTCGTGTTCCACTAATTATAATTTAACAACAGAGAACCCAAGTAGAATTTATCATCCATAACTATTTAAATGATATATTCCACGTATATATATATATATAATTATAAATTGACTAAAAGGCACACTAATAGGGACAGTTACCCTATTATATGTATATAATACTTATAAATATATATAATTATATATGAAATATGTTCATACATGTTCATACATCCTTCTTTCATTTATAAAATTACTTTTTAGTGTACTAAAAATAATAATAATAATGAGAAAACATCGAAAATAATTAAAAGAAAAATTTTCGCATTGTTTGTTTTAGAAAAAATCTAGTTTAGAGAAATGTAAAAGAATTATACATATATATTTATGAATATTTATGCGTGTTTAGGTATATTTATACATATTTATATACATTCATATATAAAAAATTGTTTACCGGGGCTGTTAACAAGTTCCATTTTTTATAATAAATTTTTTATAGCATGAGAGTAAAATATCGAAACATTTTTTACCTTGTTTTTAAGATGAAGGCCAAATTAGAGTTGAAATTTTTGATCTCCGGAACTATTAGACTTGTTTGGTTTATTTTATTATTTTTTATTAATTATTAGTAGATAAATCACACATGTTTAATTTACTAATTTAGTTTTTTTTTTTGCAATATTTATTTATTCCGTTATACATTTATAAGTAGGTATTTATTATTCTGTTCTATTTCTATCGATACTCTGTTAAAATGTGCAAGTCACTTTATACATCTACTTTCGATGGATTTAACTATCTGATATGTGTATGCATATTTCTGCGTCAATCATATGTAATAATACGTATTATTGTGCATGCCGTTATTCGTATCAATGTGAAGGATACATAATAATGTTGGCGAAAGGAAGAGTTCAAAGTTATCGAGCCGAAACGCTAACCGAGCTTCCTGTCATGTAGTTTTATTCCACCGTTTGCGTAAGAGGTGGAGCTACGTTCTGGAAAAAAGTATGGCGAATCGATCGCTCTTCTTATATGTTTTAAAAGACGTACGATAAAACATGGCGTAAGAATGATGGATATTTACACCACGCAATAAGATTAGAAAAAGAAAGAGAAAGAAACAATTTAAGAAGATGGAGAAGGAGGGGAAAAGCTAAAAAAAAAGAATGTTCGCCAACGTAAATTCTCGACCCGAAGTCGATAGGATACCGGCGGAACTCCGCCATATATCCGGCACAGTTCAAGGCAATGAATCGGACCGGATACAACGCGATTCTCGAATCTGGAACGTCGGCAAATGACGTGATCCGCCGTCGAGCTCGCGACGCCAACGAATATGAGAACCGCGTCCCGTTTCGATATTTTCTTTCACACACGATTCGTCCCTTGAACGAAATCTTCCGGAGAATCGCACGATGCGGACGTCAATGCGCCCTGATGACATTTCCTCATTTGAAGATCGTTATCGTCCGATGACGCGAGAGCTGAGAAACATATCGGTTCAAGGGTCGCGTCTCTACGTCTATATCGATGCAGGATAAAAAAGGCAGCTGATAATGTGCCGCGATTTGACGCGAAGTCTTATCGCGCCGGTAATCGTATGCGGCGTGTTATTGTTTAAAGCGTTTAAAGTCGAGGAATAAAAAGCCCACGCTGTGCTGCGAGTGATAGCGCGAGCGCAGAACATTGCAAAGTCGCCCTCGTCGAATTAGACTTCGTCTTGGTTATCGCGCCTATTATAATTGCGCGTCCATTACTCGTCGCAAATGTTGACCAACTTAATTGTTCACCGCGCGCGCTCGAGTTTTAAACCCGAACCGTATTACAAGTTCCAAACATGGACTTTGTGAATTTCAGCCGTTGCCAAACTTGCTCGGATGAAAAACAGTCAATAACGTGGAATCCTGTGTGTCTGTAACTTCTAACGACACTGTTGGTATAATTGTGATGTATGTCGTTGCGCATGTATTAGTCTAATATTTCATGTGTCGTACGACAAACTTCTGGCTGTAAAACAGAGAAGTCCGAGAACCTCTCTGTCTTGTAGCAGAATATAGATACTCAAACGTAATAATAAAACAATCTGTAAAATTGTTGAATTCCTAATATTTTGAAAATATACTATTAAACATCCTTTTTAATTTTTAGCAATTTTCTATTTTATAGCCAATCAATGCGCTTAAAAAATTTGTCGACAAATGAAATATTAGTCTCATACATATATCGTAAAAAAGTTGCGCAACGATAATATAACGACAACAAACTATTGTTACAGAATGCATGATAAGATCAAGCGAGAAGAAACAACTTTCAATATTCCTTGTATTTTCAGCATATTTGACGAAAGAATCACTAGAAAAGAATACGTCTTCCGTTGAAATGATTCTCAGAAAAATCGAAAAAAGTAGCGTGAACGGACGTAATAATCGTTCGCGCGTCTTGTTTATCGAATTGTCACAGAGGAAGACTGTCCTCTACGGAAACAAAATCGTATCGGTCCCAAGATTGACGTAAGATAATGCATCATATTGACGCAAATGCTGCCGAGCGAGTGACTGTTACTTAAATTGGTGACCGCGGTTACATACATAGCTCGTATTGACAAGACACGTATACCAACGTATGCATGTATACGTGATCGCACCCCGCACTTTTGCACGATTAATAATTACACAGTACTCCTGGTATGGTTTGACAATACGAGGCGGTGTGCACGTCGCTGGCATTGTCTCGCGAGTCGCGAGGTGACCACGTCGCGAGTTTGCTGTAACGCCGATGATTCCGTTGACGCTTCTCCGCCCGCGCTTTCATGCTAATTTTGCGAAAATTATAGAAGACACCCGACACTCGACAGGGAATTATATAGGACATATGGCGAACTGGCGAAGGGAACTACGACGTATTTAGAAAAAATATGAGCCACGTAGTGATCGTTTATGATCGCTAGAAATAATGTTATCATAAATAATATTTTTATGATAACAATTTATAATAGTAATAATCATCAACTATTAAATAATATTTTAATTAAACGTCAGCTGAAGTTGTTATTTATACGGAATAAACGGTTTTGCTAAAATATCTAAGGATTTAGCTACACTGAGAAATCTATTAGATTTTAATAAATATTTATTTGAATAGTGTTAACCAAATATTTATTTACAGTAAAGATTTATTTAATAAAAAGTGATTAAATCAAATTAATTATTAATTTTTGCGTATCACACACAAATAAATATATCTTTATATTTATAGTACCTAAAAATTTAGTTGGTATCATAACTCAAACAAATAATTTATTAAAATTTAGTTTATTTTATCAATGTAGATGCAATCCGAAAATAATTTTGTTGAAATTATTTCATCGAAATAATTATGTAAAATATTCAAGCTATAGTTGCTACAATATCAAAACTTTTTGCAGCATTGCTTGTCATACTCGAATTTTCTACATAATTATTTTGTACATCTATCTAAACTTTTAGATATTTAACAAAATCGATTTTTTTCGTTTTGTACAATCGTTAGTTTCTCGATAGTGACAATTGTCGCAATTATATATCATATACGACGAAATAATACACGTCCACTTAGAAACGTTTCGGAAAAAGAAACGGGTTCTGTATACATTCGCGAGTCGTTCCCGAAGACCTCGACAGAAAAGCTCCGGGCACTTTTTGCCCTCCCGACAATATAAGCCATTCATCCCAATCAGCACATCCTCTCATTGCACTCGCGCATGATTCTCATTACCCAGTCCAATTGTTTCGCGAATTCAGCCGCACGGCTCGCCGCAGATCGCGATGTTCATTGTCGCGCGATAAACGCGTGACGATTGTAACACGCGGACCGCGTCGAATGATCCTAATCATGCATCGTATATCAATTATTCATGTACAGTCGCGCAATTGACATGAAATACATATACTGTGCAAAAGTATGCTGTATGACGACTGTCGTTTCTGTCGGCGCAATATTCGCGCTTTCCCGTGGAATCCGATCCCGTCGGAAAGATCGTTCCAACAAAAGCATGCGATAATTCTCGTCGACGATAATCGCGTTACGCTATCGTGAACGACAGCGTGTAGCGTGCGACACGGACACAATGTTGCCAAACCGCAACGGGAATGACTCCGATTTGTTTCGTGGGCACGAATCTCGTTTGCGCGAGAATTGCGAGCGGTACGTAACGTATCGTGTGAGAAACGCAGTCGATTTCTCGGAGAGCGATGCGTTCACGGTATCAGCTGCGTCTGACGATCGAAGGAGAAGAGGAGAGGCATGCGGTAGAGGTTCGCATTTGGCGAGGCGTGTTTCTCGCTGAATCGAGGAACGGACGGACGCAGGATGCGCACGCACGCACTTCTCGCGCGCGCGCGCGCGCACGTGCGTGTGGAGAGCCCACGCACACTGTGCGTGGCGTAGGAATACATGCGCGTTTCGGGCGTCGTCTGCTGGGCACTACTTTCCGGCGACCGCCACTCCGTAGATGCGACGCCGAGGAGCAAAGGATGAGTGAATTTTCAGGGCCGAGAGACCGGCGTCCCTAGTAGCACAATTCATCGACGCAACATTGGCCCAATATATCCCCAATGTTCAACCAATGTTTAACCAATGTTTCGCCAA